TGATACTTTTTCCAATTAATTTAGACCTGTGCTCTGGTTACAAACGACTGGCAATTAATTGTCCTTAATTGCACTAACAAAGTTTTTCCTGATTTTTCAAATGTTTCTTACTTTTCCTCCTTTATAGTTCCTTATTTTACTAGTGATAAAGTGCTCTAGATCATGCTTTTATAATTATGTAAGTTTGTTCTTTTTGGATTGATGAAAAGGAGAAAGATTGTAATTGGAGAGGGTTTTTTTAAAAAAAAGAAGAAACCAAAACACCATGTTAAAAAGAGATTTTTTTTTTTCCAGAGTAAATCCCATCGGGCAGGGGTAGAGTTTAATGAACAAATTCAATTGTGGAAAATAATTGAACTTCAAAGTGGGGTTGATATGATAATATCCCTTTGAAAGGAGCAGATATATCGTAAATTTAAAAAAAAAATGCCATGAGAATGCTAGTAACTAAATGTAAGCGTTTGATAATTAAATTATTGCCTTCTTTTCCTGAGTTACAGACTAAAATTGTGAACTGCTGTTATGTTAGTCAAGCTAGATTATCAGGTGACAATATATAAAAGAAATGTGACATCTCCACATATACATGTGTCTGAAGATAAGCAACCTGTCTGTTAACAATATTTGATATCCTGAACAGATTAACCGATTGTGGAAGGTGTTAACCTCAGCAGACTTTCTGTCAGTGATTGCTTGCTATATATTTGATGTCATGTGCAATATCTGCACTCCAATTCTGGCTTTTTTTGCTAATCCCTGATTTTGATTACACGCCTGTTAAGTATCTCCACTTATTCAACTCTGTCACTTTAAGATACTGTGCCTCTCTGACCAACATTATGGTCATCTATCCCAACATCCCCTTTTATGACTGTCAGATTTGTTTTGAGAATGGTATTGTGAAGCTGTTTGGGATATTTCACTGTACAGGTGGTTTGTTGCAGTAAATTAGAAAGTTGTGATTAGATGATCCCAAGCATGCATTTAATTGGATCTGGGGGAGGGGAACCATTTACCTCTTCAGTGGAGCCAGTTAGGGGAGATGTTTTTAAAGTATTGGTTTGTCAATTTTGCCAAATAGCAATGTTAATGAGCTTCATTTTGCAAAGTTGACTAAGGGACGAAATACATGAGATGAAAGAATCTTTTGAATTAAGCAAATGGTTTGCCCTTTACTGAAATATATATGTTTTGAGCACTTGGGGAATTTATTTGATATGACAATATAAAGGAATATTGTAGAATAGATGCTCAATGATTGAGAGACAACAAGGTGCAGAGCTGGATGAACACAGCAGGCCAAGCAGCATCATAGGAGCAGGAAGGCTGACGTTTCGGGCCTAGACCCTCCTTCAGAAAAATTTTCTGCTCCTATGATGCTGCTTGGCCTGCTGTGTTCATCCAGCTCTGCACCTTGTTGTCTCGGATTCTCCAGCATCTGCAGTTCCTACTATCCCTGCTCAATGATTGTATTGTTTGTCCTTACCTTAAATAGTACATGATGTAATCTAAAATGCAGTGTAATTCTACCTGCTGTAAATATTATTTTGGTCATGTGATGCCTGTAGCTATTTACTAGCTGGTGTGCTTGATTTGATCTCTCTTTTTTTAACCTCCCCTGCCAAACAACAAGTGATCTACCAGGCTCCAAGTGCCTAGTGAATATTCTGGGGCACTCCTATTGCGATGTTGATTTCCAAAAGTGTTATGTTTCAATAAAATGAAATAGTCCCCAAAGACTATGTATTTTTTTTATGTTTGTAACTACCTGGCATTGAAACGGGTGATGTCCTGGTAATTACAACAGACACAGTGACACTTCAAAGATCACTGTGCAGAAAGGACACACTTCCTGACCAGCCCAACATGGAGCTGGATGTTGAAACGATAACGGGAAGAAAGCCTTTTAATAACAAGGAAATATTTATAATGCATTTTCTGTTATGGTTTCAGAGAAAATTCATGAATATGTAGATTTTATCAATGTTGCAGTGACACTCCCTTTAAGCACGCAGCTGAGTTTATACAAAGGCAGTATTGTGTCCTTCCTTTAGCCAGATTGCTCACTTCTGTCATGAGGTCAGTAGCGTATGCTGAAGTATAGTTCCATGGTGGTTGATCCATCTTACCCAAGTGGTTTGTCTTCAACTGGGACTGGCTTGATGGACCCAGCTTGACATTTCCTGCTGGTCAATTTTGAGTGCTGACATTTGGCTTAGCAGATGTTAGTGGGTCAGTGACCCACAGAAAGTATCGCAGTCTGATCCTGACTGTAATGTGTTTGTCAGCTGGGATCACTGAATATTGGTCTGGTTATTATCTCTACCCCAACCCCCACTCAGCCAGGCCAGTTGTTGTACCCTGACTGGTCTTGTTGAGGAAAAGGAATTTAGCATAGCGTAAATTTGGACCTCCTTGGCCCCTCACTTATTTCTCTACCCCACTGTATTTTTCCACTGATGGGGTATAGGGAGTGATGGCAATGTTTTCCCCCTCCCCTGTCATTTTACTGTCCACCCACCACCACTTCCTGTTGTTGCACTGTAACTACAAAAATACTTTGCCCAAGTGGCCCTTCTTTATATAGAAGTTAATGAACAAATGACGTACAGGGCCAGTGTTAGGGGAGTCAGGCAATGTTCACTCTAAGCTGCATGGCTATAGCCGCAGAGAGGGTCCAGGTCCATTTAATCCAGTGATCGGCATGTGGAACATGTTACCATACACCATTTTCTGATCAAAATTAGAGGGAACGCAGCTTGCAAGCTCACGTAATCCCATTGTCATACATATGTCCTTTAGGGAAGGAAATCTACTTTCTTACCTGGTCTGGCACATGTAACTCCAGACCCACAGCAATGTGGTTGATTCTTAACTACCCTCCTGAAATGTCTGAGCAAGCCACTCAGTTCAAGAACAATTAGGGTGGCAATGCATACTTGCCCTCCCATGAAAGAAAATTATACACATACTTACAGTAGTGGATAAATATCAGATGCACTCTTTTATTCCCTCTATTAGTATGTTGCAATCAATTGTAACATTTTGATCTGTGTGACCTGGCTGTCTGAACCATAAGGTACCTGTTAAGTTTACATATCACCAGTTTTTTACAGGGCTGTGTGGTGTAAATTGACATTCTCTTCTCGCTTATTTAAAGTTTAGACCTGCAAAGTTTAATTTGCAGATCTAATACCACAAAATGAAAGGGCGGCACAGTGGCTCAGTGGTTAGCACCTCTGCCTCTGAGCGCCAGGGGCCTGGGTTCGATTCCAGCCTCGGGTGACTGTCTGTGTGGAGTTTGCACATTCTCCCTGTGTCTGCGTGGGTTTCCTCTGGGTGCTCCGGTTGCCTCCCACAGTCCAAAGATGTGCAGGCTGGGTGGATTGGCCATGCTAAATTGCCCATAGTGTTCAGGGATGTGTAGATTAGGTGGGTTATATGGGAATGGGTCTGGGAGGGATCTCTGAGGGTCGGTGTGGACTTGTTGGGCCGAAGGGCTTGTTTCCACACTAGGGATTCTATGATACTATGAAAATTACTTTAGAAGTATTCATATAAAATCATGTTTCTTGTCCAGAAATGGCTAAATTGTGATGGGAGATATCTTTTTTGTGCTCTCCTTCTCTGTCTGAGCTCTCTAACTGCATTGTTGATTGCATTCTCTGCTTCTCAATTGTGCTGATACATTGGGAGTCTGTACTTTTGGAATTAATTTGCAATTCTTGGAGAAGTGTGTACAAGAGACTGGTCAGATCCGTAGTTCTGTCATTGCTAGCTGCAATTTTAAATTGCTTGACTCTCACTGCATGAGACCATTTGTGCAGTCCACAAAAACTGCAGACAGAAATTGGGTCACTGTTGAAACAAGAAAAACAGGTGATACCTCCCTAGCCTCGGCCTTTGACCAGGCCTTTGCCAGACTGTGGGAGAACCAGTACATTCATTAAACAAACACCTTGAAAAATGAAGATGGGGCCTGGTTAGCTCAGCTGGCTAGTTGACAATGCAGAATGATGACAATAGCGCTGGTTCAATTAGCTGAAGTAACCATGAAAGACACTACTCAACCTCTCCCCTCATCTGAGGTGTGGTGACCCTCAGGTTAAACCACCAGTCATCTCCCCTTAATGAGAGAGCAACACCCATTGTCCAGTAGGACTATGGCAACTTTACCGTTTGCTTTTACTCCTCCATTTGTATCAATTTGATGAACATTTCTCCAATTGGGATTTACAATATCCAATTTGGACCAAAGCAATACAAAAAGTAATGTGAATATAAATTTATGTCAAACCACTAGATTCCATTACAAGGAAAGCCTGTTGTGCTATGAGTGGCAGATTAGAGCAGTGAAACCTGTACTTACAGTTCAGTGCAGTCTTTCACGACTGAGGTTGTCCTCAGGTGAAGTAAATGTTGTAGCTGAACTCTCATAAAAGACATTGGGATGATGGCCAGATCATTTTTTTAATGCTGTCAGTTGAGGGATCAGCCTTTAGCAAGGCACCAGGGGAGATCACTCCTCCCCTTCTCTGAAGTAGTGCGACGGGATCTTTTATACAGTGGGATCTTGATTTAACAGCTCGCATGAGATGGTATGATTGATGAGACCCTCCCTTGGTTTTCGACTGGGAATGTCAGCTTCTATTCTGTCCTCAAGGTCCTGGAGTGAGACTTGAGCCCACAATGTTCGGAATCAGAGTGAACTTGCCACAGTTGAGCCATGGTGAAATGGTTAGGTTCCACAACTTTTTGTTCAGATCAGGAACAAGAATTTCTTGTGGCCGAAAAATCAATTTTGATGTGGTTTACTTGAATGGGATGTTGCTTTTATAGAGTTTGACTTTCAAGACAATGGCTCAGATTTTGATTTTTTTGTTTTTCTCTCCATGTGTAATGATTCACAACATTAATGCAAGTCCTTTTATTTTTACATTGTCTATGTTTTTGTATACATTGGTACCTGGTTTAATGAAGTAATATTTGATTTCTTTTAGTTGAGGCGTTATTTTGGGAGCAATCTTGTGCCACGTTTTCCACCTAAGAGTTATCTCGCTCAAACTGAGTCTACAGCTGAAGAAAGAAGACTTCAGTTACAGCAGTATCTTCAGAAAGGTGAACTGAGTTTGATCTTCATTAGATCACCTAATTCACTTGTACGAGTGACCCTTAGGCTCAGATAAGTACATGATTTTTTGGAATGAGGGGGAGAAATAGCCATCATTCCAGCTTCTAATCCTGACACCCTGAAGTGTGTTGGGATGTGATTGCATGTGAATGTTGGACAAGGAGAGCATTTTATTCCTTCATTTCCCTAGTCCCAGATCTTAGTCAGATCCTCTCTTTCTCTTCATTGTTCCCTGTGAAAAATTCTCCATCGAGAAAGGAGCAGGAGAGTTTCAGCAATTTCAAAAGTCAATGAAATATTTCAATACCCTTGCTTAAATTTAAAAAAACAAAATGTCAAAATGACTCAGAAACTGAAGCCACTTTCAGGTTAGTCTTGTACCAATGGTTTTCATTGAGTGGGTGTCATATGATGAGCAACAACTCTCTCTATAATGACATCACATGAGGTAGAATCATGAAAGCCTGCACTAAGTTTCTCTATGCAACCATTCAGACTTTGCCTTATGTAACGCGTCACTATTTGGCCCTGTCCTGATGTATCCATGTTTGTAGCGCTAAGGCAGTTTCCATGCATAAGTCTGAGCTGGAACTTGTATGTCATTTGTGTTGAATAATGAGGAGGAACAGTGCAGGATTATAACATTCCATTTTCTCACTTACACGTTAGAAAAGGGTAGCTGGTTAAACCAAATTGTTTAGAGGTGATGTAATGATAATGTCACTGGATTAGTAATCCAGGCTCTCTCATGCTGAGGGGATGTGCGTACAAATCCCGTCATAGTAGCTGTGGAATTTAAATGTAACCTTAATTAACAAATTTAATTGATAAGCCTGAAATTGAAAGAAGAGCTCAGTAATGGTGTTTATGAACCTACCTTGGGTTGTTATTTATCTAAAAGAAAAACATCTTGTTCACAAACTCCTGGTCTGGCCTATATGGTCCATGGCTGTGTGATTGTCAACTGCCCTCTGAAATGACCTAGCAAATTACTCGGTTGTGACAATTGGGGTTGGACAATGTTTGATGGCCTTGGCAGTGACATCCACATCCCACAAAAGGACTTTTTAAAAAAAAATTGAAGGTACAGCATGAAACCTGGAGGAATTGGAAAAAGGATTGGACTAATGATTACAACAAGTAGGTGTTTTGGATTTAAAGCTCCTATGCTTTTTAACTTTTTTTTTAAAAAAATCCCACTATTCAGAGAAGTTATTACACACTTCTGGAACCAGTGATACCTGAACCCAAGCCTTCTGGCTCAGAAATAGAGGTGCTAACACTGCAACACGACTCCTAAATCTCCTATGCATTTTTTTATATCCAGAGGTTTTCTTGCGCAAAACTGGGTTTTTCCATCACCAAATCATCTGTGGTATTTTTCAAATAACCACCACCAGTGTTTCCAACTGATTTGATTTATAAGCAAAGCCCATTAAGGGTGTTGCAGATCACCAAAGGTGAGGGAAATGTTGGGAGAGAATGAGGAGCCAAATCAAAATGGAGTTTGTGGGGTGGGGGGGGTGCAGAACATAAAACACTGCGGTGCCTGCCTCTTTCTAAAGGTATTGAGAATATTGGTGGACACCATATGCTCTCTCAGGGTCCGGTGACACCCAGGCACAAACGTATCTGTGGAAGATGGACATACAGTTGACAGTTATGAGTCGTCCACAGCCCGCTGCCTGGACCTATTAATGGCCAGCTTAACCAGATCCAGGAGCAGATCCGTGAGGAACTTCCCTGATTTGTCCACAACCCTGTGTGCTGGATGTCCAAGGTCAGGACTGTGCGTCTGAAGCACAAGAAAAGATTATTCAAATAACAAAAAAAGGGGTTCAACTACCCACAACTAATACATACAGAATCATGGACTCCACAGTTCTGCAGAATAAACAGTCAGGCTGGGAGCCTTGTGAATCGCTGCAAACTTGTGGTTACATGGGAGTGCTGTGTGCAACAGCCTCCAGTCCAGGTTCCCAGCAGAAAGTGGATGAACTCCTGCATAGAGAATCCTCTGCTCGGGATTCCCGCTGCCCAGTGGTACAAAAGCACACCAAGGGGTATCCGGGCGGCAAATGGAGGAGTCAAACTGGATGGTGTACGGGCTGCTGCTGCACAATAAGTGCCACCGCGCCAGGTGGAAGGACACCGAGATGATTGGCATGCAGTGGCTCAAGTTGTGGAATGTGGGCTCCGGAGGCAGCTTCAGGACCTTTTTGGGGCCAATGTGAAATTCCGTCCTAGCAGGAGTGGACACAGTCTGAAAATTTAAGCATCCTCCAACTGGTGCATGATTTTGGGTACAAGCACCGCTGTTTGTAGGTGATAGATGGCATTGGCTGAAAGCTGGGTGTCCACTGCCACCCTGTTTGCCAATTCCTGCGGCAACATCCAACCCAGCCTAGCACATGCCTGACTCTGGTCATTACCATGGCCAAAGCCTTCCGTTCTTCCAGACACTCAAACCCAGGATGATGGAGTTTCGGATTTCTGAGCAGCAAGTCTATGATATCCATCCTCCCTCATCTGATGAATCAGTATTCCTCCATGTTGAGTGACAATTGGAAGAAGCACTGAGGGTGGCAAGGGTGTAAAATGTATGGTGGGTGGAGAATTTCAATGTCTGCCACCTAGAGTGGCTCAGCAGCAGCACTACTGATCAAGCTGGTCAGGTCCTCAAGGACATAACTGCTAGATTGGGTCCATGGAAAGTGGCGAGAGAAACATCAAGAGGGGAGGCAGGATGAATGGTCACTTTTTTAAAGAAGTGTGCTTGCCTCATTCTGACCAGAGGAGTGTAGACACTGACAATGCAAAATAACTCCAACCCTGCCCTTTGCAGTTGGACTGTCAGGTGAAACAAATGGCCTGGCACCAGCTTCTTTACCTCCCCCCACCCCCAACCCAGTTTTCTGTTTGAAAATATGGGGCTAACAAGATAGCCACCCCACTGAGTGTAGAGCACACCCTACCACTCCAGGGACCAAGTAGCTTTGTCTCCTAGGGCGGTGTTCTTGTTTTCTGCAGGAAGCACACTGCATACCTCCTGTCCCGGAAGACTGACCAGTTCTAGAGCCTGAGTTGTGGCTCCCTGCTGCCATTGATGATGAGTCCTGGAGTCCTGGAATTCCTCAGTTGGGATGAGGGGAAGCTTGGTGGGGCCCACTAGGAGTCCATAACCTTGCTGGAGACTGACTTTGTATTATCCCAGTGGTCATCACTGAGTCCTCGCTCTCCTCTGGGTGGTGGTCCCACAATGAGAGTGGGGATGGGGGATGTTTTGGTGCAATCAGCTGGATTCATTACCCCTGTGTTACCACCCACAGGATCAGAGGCGGAGGGATTTGGGTTATTGGGTAGCAGAGACTTTGGACTGTGTTCACCACCTGACACTAAATTGAAATGAACAGCTCCCTCCTTACTGTGCAGGTTTGCTTTTGGTTGCTGAAAGCACCTTGTCATTTTATAAAGGAATATAGTTTTGTTGTTTAGTTCTTTTTACTAAATCTCCTGTACAGGAGTCCATAATGTTGTTTTGTCAACTCTTGATTTGCTATCATGATTGTAAAGAAACAAAGCAACAGCTAAATATTCATGTTCTTGCTTTTGCAGTTGGAGAGGATCCTGTTATATCTGTCAGTGAAATATTCACCACTTTACTAAAAAATGCACAACAGGTAGGAAATAATTTCAACTTTCCTAGTCCTGAATTAACATTGCAAAATGAAAAAAAAGTGAGGAAGACACTTACTAATCGTTTAACTCTGGTGATCAGGAAACCTTTGGAAACAATTTTTCAAGATAGAATCAGTAGTCGCATGGAAAAAAAAAAATTGATTAGCAAGAGTCAGCATGGATTTTTAAAGGGGAAGTATTGTTTAATTACCTTGCTGGCACTTTTTGAAGAGTAACAGAAAGGGTTGATGAGGGTAATGCTTTTGATGTGATTATATAAAAGGCATCTGCAGAAGATATTTGATACAGACACTCAGAACAGACTTATGAGGAAACTTGTATAAAAGGGACAGTAGCAACATGGATACAAATTTGATTCAGTGATAGAAAACAGAGCAATGCTTATTGGATATTATTTGGGCTTGAGATTGGAAGTGGAGCTCCCCACGGATCGGTATGGGAACTCTTGCTTTTGCTGATATATTTTAATGATCTAGATCTTCATGCGCAGGGGACAATTTCAAGGATTGCAGATGACTCTAAATTTGGAAGAATTGTATACTGTAAGGAGAATAGTGTGGAACATCCAAATAGACATTGCCAGGACTGGGCAGAGAGGTGACAGATGAAATTCAATGCAGAGAAGCGTGAGATGATGCACTTTAGTCAGAAGAACATTGAAAGTCAAAATAAAATGGAGGTACAATTCTAAAGAGGGTGCAAGAGCAGAGGGACCTAGGTATATACACTCTCAAATTATTGAAGGTGGTGAGACAGGTGGAGAGAGCAGCGAAAAAAGCATACATTGTTCTTGAGATAGTAGGAACTGCAGATACTGGAGAATCTGAGATAACCAGGTGTAGAGCTGGATGAACACAGCAGGCCAAGCAGCATCAGAGGAGCCGGAAACCTG